GATTGCCCTCTATCCGAGTGGTCGACATGACCGGAGTCGCGCTCTGCTTACTTTGCGAGATGAGCCTGACTTCTCTTCCTGTCTGTAAACAATTTTGATTTGGTCGTTGGCGTCATCTTCTCCATTCCCGACAATTTAATTCAATATTTCCTATCTGCAACTCTTGTCCGCCGCGGTGCTATATAATGGTTCGAGTGCCCGGCAACCAACGCGAAAAGTCGCAGGCTCAACGCAGGCCCCGGTGCCGCCATTTTTATGGGGGCGGTATGCTAGAGGCCCGTGTAGCATGGGACGCCAGTGGACACTAAGGAACTCCAGTTGGTCCGAATTTCCGGAGCCCTCCGCAACGGCGTGCCGCATAATCGCAAAGAGATTCTGACTCGTAAAACCACGGCAATTACTTCCAACTGCTGCATCTGTTCTCTTTCTTGTACAGAGTTGGAGGGTGCCTTGCCACTCGCAGAAGTAGGAAAATGGTTCGCGCCCTACTTCCCTTTTTGTTATTTGTATACGCGGGAGTAATAGTAATAATGATGATGATAATATAATTAATAATACTAATATTAATAATAATAAACACTGGGAAGGCCTGGGTCACTCAATTGAACTGTTATTATTATTATTATTATTATTATTATTATTATTATTATTATTATTATTATTATTATTATTATTATTATTAACAGCTGCATTACGTCGGCCACACAGTTCACTGGGTTTTCTGTGCCTGATACCGCGCCTCGTGGGGCAACTCACGGCCCCAGCGCGCACCGTTTGGTCATCGAGATGTGTGGCGCACGCATGGACGTGCGTCCATTGGGGGCGTTCTTCGATTTCTCCTCAGTCTCCATCAACCTTTGCGTTGTCCTTCTCGAGCTTTCCGAGTGCGGTGTTATCAAGTTCGTGAAACAAGAAATATGTAAGAAAAATTGTCTTGCAAGTGGTGCACATCCGTTTCGCCACAATTTTTCAGAGCTCGGCAAAAGGGGTGGAGAAGAGGTGCTTCTACACAGTCTGTGTTGTTCTTCATTTAGGGCATTGCGGGTGGCATACGTTCATAAATGATGCGTCACCCTCTCGATGATCTCGCAATCTCTTCGGGCTGCGCGTTGTCTTCGGCGCATGGTTACGCCTAAAATGTGGTTTGTATGAAAAGAGCACTGCTTTCTTCGGATTGAGTGGCAGCACGACCCGCGAACATCTCTCGGTCCGTTGTTTGTCACTCAGCAGAGTCGGCGGCGTTGACGAGGGATATCATGTATGCCTCTGTTTCTTTCGAGTAGCCATGTCGGGACGTTGAGGGTTTCATGCTGGATTGCGGGGTGAAAGAAAGCTATCGTTTCAGTCGGCTTGGGCCCTTCTGAGGGCCATTGCTGCCGGTTCTTTCGCAAGATGGGTTCTGGATGAAATAAAGCGTTGCGTCACTAACACCAGTGCGCCTGATCACATGTTTCGCTCAGGAGAATGCGCACAGCCCCGGGTGACGAGATCGGTGTGCGCGTATGGCTTTTGTCAACGGAAGCTTCTACTGTTGAGCAACACATCGCCCAAGGCTCGTCGCCCATCGCGACCTTTGTCTATGTGACGTCTATCGGCTTTTGAACAGTGGCCGCCAGAGAACTGACCTTGACATGCCGTGGGTGTGAATGTAAGAAAAATCATTCTCGAGAAGCACGTGACAGGGTGTGTGTGGTACAAGCATGTGTAGGTATCTTTGATTTCGCTGCACTATATACGCGCTTCCTCTTCCGAATTTACAATTTTGGACTTTTTTCTACTCCTTTTGAGAACGCAAAATGAGCCGCACAGTCTGTGCTCTATTTCGTGCAGGGCCAGTTCAGCACGACTTCTTAATTGTGCTGCAATTGAAAATACAAGTGTCGTTTGGTTGATACGGTGCTGGTCCGCTCGATTCGGGATGCATGGTGGCGAATGTGTCTCTATTTTGGTGCAAAACCCTACATAGCTTACATAAGTTAGCATGTTACGTAACTCGAAGGCCTACATAGTTCTCGGTATATTTGTTTGAGATTTGGAACGTTTTAAGCAGTTTTCGGGGTAGTGTATTTGCGTCGCTGCAAACAATGAACACATTGCTTGTAAAATCTGCGCCGCCAGGCAGCGAAACGATGCGCTTATGTTGCTGGCAATGGCCATTGTACGACGCACTCAAGGCAAACAATCTTTGACAATAACACGGGCTGTAGACGTTGGAGGATTACACTAAAGGTTTGGTGATTTTATTTTGGGCTCATGAGTGCGCCGTAACTGTTTACGCATACCGGCCTCACAACTTTACGTATGGGTAAATTAACGAAAAAGTGACATCTACGGTCACAATGGTACTGCCACTTTATAGCGATTCTAAAATGGTAATTAATGTGAGAAAGAATGTTCTTTTAACCAACACGAAGACATGAGAACACAGCAACGCGCAGACGCGGCCCTAGTGTGCTGTTCTCGCCGCCTCACTTGAGCTATACACTATAGTGTCCTATGATAGAATACCAAGCCTGCATCACAACAAGATAAGATGCTTTACGAAGTTTATACGAACCATAGCAAAAAGGCGGATCTCTCGACACCACCCTTGAAGCAGCTGACTCTACATATGCTGCACGAAGGATACAAACACAACGTCAACCTTTATACGGATGGTTTGACAAATGTCAGGGGGTCTGCAGGAGTTGTGATCTTCCCAGCAAAAGCCGAAACCATCCAATTTAGAACGTCTCGCAAAACAACATAGACAGCCGCAGAGCTAGCAGCACTCCGCTGTGCAGTCCGCAGGATTGATCAAGAAGCACCTCTAAAATGGGGCATTTTCACCGATCCGAAACCAGCTATTGTATTCGAACAGCGCTACGTCGTGAACCTCAAGACCAATTGGTGCTGAAACAAGACAATTGTATCAGCATGTACTACAGAAAGGACACGATGTAACTTTTCAATGGTTACCAGGCCACTGCGGAATCGTCGATAACAAGCATGCCGACGCTGCAGCAAAGAACGCTCACGAAAATGGCATGATGAATTATATTCCACTGTCAATAAGCGACAGTGGATTAATACGCTCGCTGACAAGGATTAATACGCTCGCGCACGATGTCACCAGGTCTCTGTGGAACACGCCCGGATTTCTAAACACCCGTCTTCACTGTCTGAACCCACACCAAGACTTTTCATTTGATCTGGGTTATCCGGATCTAAGACAACCGTTCTCTGTCACATGTGGCTTGGGGTGTCTTTTACGACCGCCTATGCTTGCCGCATTGGATGGGCGGACAGTGGTGCGTGTGACCATTGCGGCGCTGACGAAACCACCGATCATATTTTGTCAGTGCCCTCAGTACAACTGCCAAAGACAGTCCCTGTCAGCAGTGTTTGCACGCCTCGACGACCAGCCGCTTTCGGAAAAATTTTAGAATGCAGGAAAGATCGAGCTTCACGCCAAAAAGGGACGAAGGCTCTCCTGAAGTTTCTGCGATCGACCCGCCACGTCGAACGCTTGTGACGTTTCAGTGTGTTAGTGTGCTTTCACTTCCATCCCGCTTTCTTTCTCTAATTCCCTTTTTCTTACTTTTCTGTCTCCCATTTCCCCTTCCTCAGTGCAGGGTTGCAACCACACATTTGCTTTCTGGTTAACCTCCCAGCCTTTCTTCATACGATCTCTCTCTCTCTCTGAGCCATTATTACGATAGGACTGTGAGGGACGTCGTTGTGGAAAGCTATGAAAATTTTGACCATACGGTGTTCTTTTAAGATAAACATGACATCGCTCTCAGTGCACACGGGCCTCTATTTGAACCTTCATCAAACTGCGGCCGCCAGAACTGGGATCGAACCCGTAATCTGAGGGTCGGCAACCGAGCACAGTAATCTCATGTCATCGAGACAAACTCTTTACAAGATCTCCTGTGAGAATCCCCATGACAGACAGGCTGAAATATTGGCAGTGTTATCCTTCAATGGAGTGACCGAACTTATAGCGGTATAATGTAGCGGTTAATATTTTTTCATCGTTCCTCGCTTGCCGTCAAATTCTTCCGACCAACTGACACTGTTAAAAAAACTGAGAAAGCACGCGAAGAGAATGAATCTTGCGGATATCTTAGCTCATGTTTTATTGTCAAAAAGTCTGCGTAAATCTGCAAAGTCAAAATGATTCCACCATCGCTTTGCGTGGGCAAACATTGGTGGCAAACATTTCGTAAGCAGTTTTACGGTTCTGCTACAATTTGTGGCTAAGCTTCGCAACTTGAGGCTAAAAAACTTGAACCATCTTCCCGAAGGAAACCCTTATGGGATGCGAAGCAGTAGCGTTGCGCACGGGTGTCGTCATTGGTGAGCGCTGGAAAATTCGTTTGAAGCAATGGCTGGCGTAGGTCCTGTAGCTGGCACGTACAGACACGTTTGAATGTGCACGTTAGGCGCGCGCGTCATGTTTATTGCGCATGAACAGACGAGTTGGCAGTGTAGCGAGCAGTGGTCGCGACAGGTGGTACGGGCGAACGGACGAGGCGGCAGCATCGGGTGCCGCGGCGAGTGCGCGGCAGGCGAGGAAGAGAGTGCTGTCGGCGCATACTGCGAGAGGAGCGTGGCGTCAACGCGCAGCCTTGGCGTGACCTACTTAGAACCGCGCCAACACCTGCGGCGCGTGGCGCATTCGTACGGAGGGACAGCTTTACACAGGCTAGTCAAAGAGCTGCTTCGCGTCTAAAAATTTTCATCTTGAAGGCGCCCTGTTTGAGGGAAATACGAGTTATTTGGACCGCCGACTAGTGGAATGAGTGCATCATATTTAACTGCATGCAATCAATAGGAGCATTCTAATTTTTGTTGTGACACCTTGTATTCGGGTATGACAAAATAGTTAAACAATAATCTAGCATATGCTTTTGTGACTGATGACATATTCATTTCATGTCCTCTCAATTTTGAAGATACACACGTATCCATATTCAAAAGCCCTGCATGCAATTTTTGTTTGCTTCGCGCAGTGCCTGGCGACGGCGGGAGCCAACTCGAAGCCAAGTTAAACAAGACGGAGACGGTGCACTACTTTTGTGAAAGGAGAACCAATGATTATTTTGACCTCTGGGTCAACCTCGAGCTTATGGTGCCCTACGTGCTCGACTGCTGGGTGGACAACATGAGGTGCGAACCCGTTATCACCACCAGCTTGCTACTGTCTTGCGTGCAGGACTCGCGATTCTGCACTGCCATCTATCAGAGTTCCGGAAATTTTAAAAAGACTTCCTTCACCGGGCACGTTTTCCACACTGTAGTAAAATAATTGCGCGTCATTTTCAAAGAGCACTAGAATTTCGTAGACAAAAGAGGATGCGAGAAAGACTGAAGGTTCCTTGTGCTTGCTCACAAGTGTACTTTGTAGTCTTCCTTAATGTGCGTGTTATTTTATCGCTGTCTAGTAAGTACTAGTCGTGTTATGTCATTTGGGCGACAGTGATGAGTGGTAAAAACACGTTTGCTCTTAAAAGCACCGCTTATATTCAATTACACAAAAATGTTTGATCAGATGCAGCCCCGCATCACATAACTCTGTTTTTTGCAGCAACAGTACTCGTTCCGGCTGGTACATGTGATAAGTAACCATTGTTGAATTTCTAAGATTTTATTACTGTTTACTTACAACACGGGCTAAAAGAAAAGCTCACTGGGCTGCTAGCACATGTTAGAGTCACTTCACCAGACACACGCAAGATATAGCAAAAAAAAAAAAATAGCTGGCGCAAACTTCATTGTCCAATTCGACGACGCCGAAACAGTGACTGTGTATAAGCAGCTTACTAAGCACAGAAGAAACAGCAACTTACCCGCATGATGTTTGCTTTCGTACACAGTGAATTGCTCGATACATTTTGACAGCATGACCGAGCCCGAGAGTGGTTTGCGTGCACATATTTCAGGGAACAATGAATGGGCCGGCACGAAGTTTATCCGATAATGAAAGTGTATAGTGGTAACATAATACAACCGTAGATATCAATACAACAAAGCGGAAGGGAGAAAATTCAATCAAGTGAATAGAAAGGAGAGATGAAATGATGGCAAATAGGAACAAAAAGGCCTCCTAGCTCCGCACTTTCATGAGGTACGGCACCATTGGATTTAATTTTTAAAAATCTATAAGGCTATAGGTTCACAAAAAATTGTAATTTCAACGTAACTGGCAGTATGATTCTGCATTTCTGGTAACGTCAAGCGACCTTTGCTGCAGCTCATCCAGTTAATTGTTCGTGAGTGGTAGTATCGCCCAGCATCGCTCTTTCGATGTTTCTTGACATCAAAATTTACCGTCATCTATTCCTGCAGGATGAATTTTTGCAGTCACCCTTAGCCATCTTTCCACGCCGTGCTCACCCTCTCAAGATCGAACGCATAACATGCCGTACTTTATCTTTTGCTAATGCGTGCCTTTTGCTAATTCTGAAAGCCATCGTTGAAAGGAACGAGCTGCTTCGAAATGGTGCAATAGAAGTCAACATTCTTATATTTAATGAACTTCTAAAAAAATAACCAAGTTTAGTGTTCTGGTTTCTTCTTAGTGACCTGTTTGATGTTTATTTTGTGCTCTATTATTGTGTTATTGTTATTTCACATTGAGTTTTTAAATAACTTTTTATTACATTCAATGTGTGTTGCGTTATTGCGTTGCCTTTTCATTTCCCTTAAGAAAATCTTGTTACGTTTGCAATTTTTTGCGTATTTGCTCTGTGTCTATTGCATTGTATCTTTTTTTCCTTTTCTTTATATGTAATATCTTTCTAGTGAGGTCTTTTAGAGGTTTCTTTCAATAAATAAATAAATAAATAAAATATATTTTGTTTGCTTCCGCGCTCATTGCAGCACTTGATTCTAAATATCGTGAACATCGTTCACAATTGATGGCTTACGCGTGGTGATTCTGTGTGCAGGTTGCTGTACGATAATAAGACGAGGACCACGAGATCTCCTGACGGAGTGCACGTTCGGGTGCCTGGGTTTGGCAACACGAGCACCGTCGAGTGGCTGGACCCGAGTCAGGTGTCTCCCAGTGAGTGCTACCGCTCATGAAGGGCCACTGTGCGTGAGAGGGATGATCGAAGGAGTGCATGGCAGCGTTTCTATACGCCGTCAGCGATTGGCTGGTGTTCTTTTGGCGCCAAACGAAACCCGAACAACGGCAAGCATTACAAATGGTATAGTGAGCTGTCCTGTCATTACCACGGAGCCCCGCCGCGGTGGTCTAGTGGCTAAGGTACTCAACTGCTGACCCACACGTCGCGGGATCGAATCCCGGCTGCGGCGGCTGCATTTCCGATGGAGGCGGAAATGTTGTAGGCCCATGTGCTCAGATTTGGGCGCACGTTCAAGAACCCCAGGTGGTCGAAATTTTCGGAGCCCTCCACTACGGCGTCTCTCATAATCATATGGTGGTTTTGGGACGTTAAACCCCACATATCAATCAATCAATTAATCATTACCACGGAATATGACGGACATGCACCGTGCTGCTAGAAAAATGCGCTGCGCGCCTGTCGATGTTGATGACTGGACGGTGCTCACTATACCATTTGTATGCTTACCACTGTTCGGGTTTCATTTGGTGCCGATAGTCGGTAGATCTAAATGAACTCTAAAAGGAATGCTGTTTCACTTGTAGTAGCACATTGCCCCTCTACAATACCAGAGACACCACACTTTGCACGAGAAGATAGTTGGTGAACCTCAAAGCGCGCGGAAAGGAAAGACCACAGCAACACTGCCATGAGGTTGCCGCACTGCAGCTTGCCATGAAGACCCACATTTTAGAGGCGCTTGTTAGGGCCTGATTAACTGTTTATCAGCGACAATACATGATTCATAGACTCGAAAACGAAATAGGTCTGGTTACGGAAATCTCTGAAAAAAGAACACGCAAAATAAAGGATATGAAATCTATGACGTCCCACTACTGACGAATCAACCATGAGGTATCGGCGCGAAAATAGGAGTGGAGGTAATGTTTGACAGCTAATATACCTGTTACCAAAAAAGTACCTGTTACAATGGTTTGCAGGTATAATTGCCCAATGTAAAGTGACTTAGTGCTAGTTATGAGTGCCCTTTAACTGCAGGAAACGGCAAATAAGCCCGAGAGACATGGACAACGCCAAGACGTTAGGCACGTACAGCAGCCGGGTGAGCTTATGCCACTAAAAATGTGCAGTAAAGTAAAGCTGTCAGCGCTGTACGTGTAAAGCACCTTCCCTTCGCGTATGCCTCTTTCGTGCAGCTTTAGCCCATGCTTTTGTTGTGATAAACGTCGAGAGGGAAATCTTAAAAAAAAAGTTGGACAGAACAGTTGCGGTTCTAGTGACCAATGGTAGAACATTTCTACACCTTTGTGTGAAAATGACGTACTACACGGCAAAAGAAAATCTACTGAAAACTTTGTCAGATGCCTCAGTATTAAATGTTGTGAAGTTGTACTAATCGATTCGAGTGTACATAGTAATCTGACTTTTCGCTCACATCGCAGAGTTGTTGCACTTGAAACTGCTTTTATTCTTTCGATTGTTGAACAGACAAGCCCATCTCGTTTCTCGTTAGATGACTTGATTGAAAATGTTGAGTGGGTACCTGACTGCGTGTCACATTTTTTTTTGCAGCGGCATACTTCACAAGAATTGTGGAGGCACTCGTAGCCCTCGGCTATCAACGTGGGATTGACGTTCGGGGTGCTCCCTATGACTTCAGGAAAGCCCCAAGTACGTGCACTGTGATTAAACTTGATTAGCTTCTAAAGTCGCTCATGTTACTGATAATCTGCGCGGATGTTGGTGCACGCAATTATGTATATGTGTATTCAGATACTTAATATAATTATCATTCCTTGAATCATGTCTTATTGCAAAGTAACATTTGCTACAGTAGCAGCAATAATAATAATAATTATAACTCCAAAGCGACGCTGTATCTTCGTCAGAAGCTTTGAAAATGATGGGTCAATGCAGAGGTGTTCATTGTGAGAAGTGGGATATTTGTGCCCTCTCCTGGAATTTGGTTGTCGGCGTCACCGCTACTTCGCTTTTCATCTTCGTTCTAGCGTTCTTCTGCGTCTGGAACGGCCCTTGGCGCATCCCGTGACCAAAGAAACTGTTTGACTCTGAATTTCACGAAGTTGAAATTTTCCTGATGTGTTGAAGGCTCCATGTTGGCTTTACATGTTGTCTTGGAGAGGCACCTGATTCTACCTGTACGAAGTGTTTCGAATAAGCCACAGTAAAAAGCATTCTGCTACACTTGTATTGTACCGCCGGTACAATCGAATTCACGTGGTCCAGATATATTCGCGTTCTTTAAGCTTGTATGCTAGAACGCACAGTTCGTGGCCCCACCGCGGTGGCCTAGTAGCTAAGGTACTCGGCTGCTGACCCGCATGTCGCGGGATCAAATCCCGGCTGCGGCGGCTGCGTTAACAATGGAGGCGGAAACGTTGTAGGCCCGTGTGCTCAGATTTGGGCGCACGTTAAAGAACCCAAGGTGGTCAAAATTTCCGGAGCCCTCCACTACGGCGTCACTCATAATCATATGGTGGTTTTGGGACGTTAAACCCCACATATCAATCAAATCAATCAATCAAACCAATCAACTACGCACAGTTCGTGGAAGATGCGATTGAGAGACTGTAACATGGAAACGATAATTTCTTCAACAGAAAGGAAATGTGTAGGCTAAAACACGCCTATTTTCAATTGTCATCAGCGTCATCTTCGTAAACATGGGGTATAGTGGGTAGCTTGCTGTGCTGGGTTGTGATGGCAGCGTTATCATCATCGAATACCTTGCATATGCTAAAGCGCTTATTTGTCATCGCCATAACGTAGGGGGTGTCAGACAACGAAAAATGCACATTGGACAAGCCTAGGCTTTAAGTTGCTTCGCCTTTAAATATTCTTGCACCGTCTCTGAGTCCCCAACTATAGTATACGACGTGCCTATATTTACGACGTGCAGCATATTTACGGGGTGCAAGGGGACCTCTTCAGATATCTCTCTTTTAATATTAGTTCGTGAAGTTTTATGCAAAATAATAATATAATATACGATGGTACTGTTCAAAATAAAGAAGAAAAAGGCGCGTGGTGCACACGCAACGCCCACGGGTGCTGGCACGCTCACTTCCTTGCACTGCTAGTGACACGCAGATATTTAGGGATAGGTCTGATCGCCGTAACTTCAAGAGATTTCGTCTAGTTTGGTGGCCTGTGACCCTTGCAACAGTCGTGCAAGGCGTGATTGCATCTCCGACTCGGCCCCATAGCAGTGATTTCAACTTTCGTCGCATACACCGTGGACGCGGTCAAGTTCAACGACCAGTGTCGATGCACCTGCGGCGATGGCCACGTCACAATAACGATTTACAAGATGGAGACACGAGGTGGCCGCCAGTGCAAATGTACAGCGTACCTGGCCCGCTGTTTTTCTGGCCTGTGCATGTCGGTAAGCCAGCTCTTCTTCAACAACTACAGTTGGAGCATTCCGAGCCATTGTTGGGTGACGGGCAGCTCGGTCAATGTCTGCCTCCACCTCGCGGAGCTCTCCGCATGCAACCGATTCCCGTGGGTCATGAACTTCGGTCTTCGCGAAGTCAGTCCAGGATGATTGGCTTTGGCTTGTCTGCAAGGTCCAGGGTTTCATGTGCTGTCGAGAATTCAGCACAGGCTTTCGTTTCGGCTCTTTCACCAACTGAAGTTCATGGGACAATGGTGCATCAAGTTCGCGGAGCTGTGCAAGTCCGGCGTCTGGCAATCCCACTTTCTGATTCGGCGTGTGATCCCTGGCTGAGCCGCAACCCATGTCATATGAATCTTCGCAACGACCGGATGAGCCGCAACCCAACCAGGGAGCTGATCGGTATGCTCTATTCCTCGGTGGCTACTCGGCGAGCTGCAGATCGTGAGCGTACTCTTCTCGAACATCGGTTTGTCCAGGCATTGCGAGTTGCTCCACCAGTGCGAAGCAGTGATCGCGAATGCAAGTATGCCACATGCCTGGTTGACTGGTGTTTCAGTTTATGCCCATATGTCAACCAGCTGTCATCGAACTTGAGCACGCGACGTGATTGGTCGACAGGTGTCCCAACTTATGCCCAGCTGTTCTCGAACGTGAGCACGCGACTTGATTGGTCGAAAGGTGTCCCAGCGTATGCCCAGCTGTTCTTGAACATGAGCACGCGACTTGATTGGTCGACAGGTGTCCCAGCGTATGCCCAGCTGTTCTCGAACATGAACATGCGACGTGATTGATCGACAGGTGTCCCAGCTTATGCCCATCCATCAATCAGCTGTTATTAAACCTGCTGTTTCGTTCGGAGCGTTCTGAACCGTGACCAGGTCAAGCGCAACAAGTTGTACACGTGAAGCGCTGGGAACGGTGGCTTTGTTTTTTGCAGTGTTCGCCTACAGAACAAGCCTTTTGAGGCTCATCAACTCGAAGCCGAAAGAAGGTAAATTCATAAAGACTGGTACTTACGTGTCTGCACAGACGCACAAATATGTTTACCGTCGTATCTTGAACTGCGATTCATCACTAAATAACCTAAATGTTACGCTTATTCGTTTGAATCTCTGGCTTACAATTTATGATGGCTATCATTGACCTTGATTTGAATTATAATCGGTTATGCTTAAAAAGTGTGCCCGACGCCTCACTGACATAGTGGTCAAACGAAAACAGCTGAACTGCTTGTTCCACGTTTGTTTATTTCTCACAGTCCGGAAATGCATGGTGACAAAGACTGCAATAAGTCGACTTCAAGTTTCGAGTTAACGTTTAATGACAAATCAAACATTTTGACCGTTGTATTAGCTGGCCATACGTGCTCTCTAAAGGACCACCTGTTTTATAATACATACAAGAAATGACTGAAGCAGCCCCTAGATGCGTGCTACTGCATACGTGAGAATTATATAAACATGTTAGTTCGCAAGAAAGGAAGCAGACTAAGGGAGAAAGCAGAGAGGTTGACCAGGAGGACATCCAGTTGGTTACCCTACAAAAGCTGCAAGCAGAGACCTGTGCTCATAAAATATTTCACTCAATACACGAGCAGGCATATAAAGGCATAGTACCATAAAATTAATATGAAATTGGCGAGGAAACATTTTACTTGCCGAGTAAAAATAAATTCTCCCCCCCCCCCCCGTCGTTAAAATATCAACGAAAAATCAGCTGTTCTGGCTATAGCGTCTGGTGACTTACAGTAATTTCATTTTAGTTTTTGCGTTTAGAAGTAAAGTGAAAGGCTGATCATGCCAAGAGCTTCCAAACCACTACACGACCAGGTATGAATGCTTATTTCACATATAACGCTGCTTCGAATAAAGTGACAATTGATAAACGTGCATGTGTCCTAATGATAACATGGACACCTCGCGAAATTCCTCGCGTAGCATAGCAGGTAGTGCGTAGTGGGTACCACGCTTCCCTTAAGAACGACGAAGGGTGGCAGTGTGATTTCCTCCCGGATACACAAAAATTATAATTATTGGCGTAGTGGCTACCCTGCAAGTGTGCTTGCAGGAGTTACCAAAAGTGTTTAAAAATGCTCTGGAAGACCGCTCTTTCAGCTTTCTTTCACTCTGACTGCGCTACGCGTTCCATGCAGCCCTGGCGGTTTTCGATATTAGTTTTATCTAAGGTTGTTGTAATAGCAAGCAGGCTCACTTTCGGGACACCTTGGCATGGTTCAAGCATACATTTGATAGGAGTCACGTACAGTTTACATAACAACGCTGCGTGTGTACGTTGGAAAATCCTGAAGTACTGGGTGCAGCCTTCAGAGTCGTCAGTGCTGTGGTATGATCTTGCGTAGTATCACCGGCATACCATAGGTAGCCTCAATCCGTAAGTAAATTGGAGATGTTTATTTATACTACGAAGAGCCTTACGGAATCAAAATGGAACTCTGGAGTGCCAGTGTGACGTTATTTATTACTAGATTTGTAACCATTGACGTAGAATTTTATGGAGTATATAGATAACTACTAGAATGTTCGAGAGGTACTAACTGTTAGGAAGTGCACCTGAGGTAGTCATTTATTCTGAAACATGATGTTGACAAATTTCTCTGTTGAAGCAATATGTGCTTGCTGTTGCTGAATAGCAATCAAACTTGCCACTGACGTAAAGCCGCTTTTCGTGGAACTATGTGTTGAAGCGTGTAGGAATAATGGACCAACGCACCGTGAATTTCTGGGCGTTTCTCACACTGTTCACTTGTCGGTCGAACTTTACCTGTAATTGCCGATAATGCAATGAATAATTGAGGCAAGTATTCTGCTCGCGCAGAAGCATTACTAGGATTTGGGGACATCTGTGTATGGCAGCATCTTTCGGTGGCAGCAATGGTGTCCAACCGTAAGTGAATAGAAAGTAGGCAAAAGAAAAGCACATCTGACGAAAAAAAAGTTAGCCATCAAAGACGACCTCTGGTTATATGTGGCAGAGCCCCACTGGAGCATTCTGGTAAAATTGCAGTATCACACTGCAAAGCCTCTGGCTTCCCAGGAGACTTGCACAACGCCCATCGAAAATGAATTGGCCCCACTGTAAATAATAAATACTCTTGGAAGCTACGTTGTTTGTAGCGTGACACTGCAATCTCACTAGAATGTTCCAGTTGGTTTCTGCTGCATATACTCAAAGTCAGTTTTGGTAACTAGCCTTTTCTGTCAGATATATTTTTTTCGCCTACTTCCCATTCAGTTACGCCAGGTAACCGCTGTTGCCAACGAGAGATGGTGCCCCGCCGCGGTGGTCTAGTGGCTAAGGTACTCGGCTACTGACCCGCAGGTCGCGGGTTCAAATCCCGGCTGCGGCGGCTGCATTTCCGATGGAGGCGGAAATGTTGTAGGCCCGTGTGCTCAGATTTGGGCGCACGTTAAAGAACCCCAGGTGGTCGAAATTTCCGGAGCCCTCCACTACGGCGTCTCTCATAATCAAATGGTGGTTTTGGGACGTTAAACCTCACAAATCAATCAATCAATATGTGCACGTAGCACCATCTCTCGTTGATTGATATGTGGGGTTTAACGTCCCGAAACCACCATATGATTATGAGAGACGCCGTAGTGGAGGGCTCCGGAAATTTCGACCACCTGGGGTTCTTTAACGTGCACCCAAATCTGAGTACACGGGCCTACAACATTTCCGCCTCCATCGGAAATGCAGCCGCCGCAGCCGGGATTCGAACCCGCGCCCTGCGGGTCAGCAGCCGAGTACCTTAGCCACTAGACCACCGCGGCGGGGCTACGTGCACATATCCTCAAATCCTGTTCGTTCATGTGCATAAACGTATTATTATAAAGGCATTCTGCAACCAAAGATGCTTATCGGGATGTCTTGTTATTTGATAGGAACAAAAACGCTGTGTGTGTGTGTGTGTGTGTGTGTGTGTGTGTGTAATAGAGAGAGAGAGAGAGAGAGAGAGAGAGAGAGAGAGAGAGAGAGAGAAAGAAGCGGCAGGTGAAGAGCACGCATCTCCAGGCCCCAGTATGCACGAGTCAGCTGGCCGTAAAGCGATCACTTATGCCCGACAGCAGCCGTAAATCTTGTTTTGCAACCAAACTTCATAGTTCGACCATTGCGCAGAAGACGACGCTCACTATTTACCATGTTGTCAATTGTAAACTACAACTATAGCACGCGCCTAACTATATTAGCAATAAACGCCGATTTTCAAGTGACAAAAAAAAAGTCGCACCTTTTGGAGCGCTTTTCTGTCTCACAATAATAGTCGTTTTCTTACTTGTCTGCGCTTCCTTTCTTAAAATTCCCGCGCATCTTACGTTCGTTGCGATGCTGCCGTGTCACGCCACTAGCGACATGTGCACCGGGCGTGTGGGGTCAAAAGAGGAAAGCCGTGCAACACAGGTGGTGATTATTACTAGTTAAAGGCAGCCTGATTCCTTGGCCGGATGAGACATTAGATTTATTGAGACGTTCGTGGCCAATCTGCAAACCTTAGGTAAGGCCTTGCTCAGGCCTCCCGGCCAATTTTTGCCGGACCGCGGTCAACAAGCGTAGTTGTCCGTCGGGCCAGGCTTTTGCTGGAGCCCAACGTTGGTGTGGTGGTAGTCCTCGACATGAAAGATTACCCAATGGCCCACGCCAGCTTGCTTTAAACGTTTGTGTATATAAGTTTATTGGTTGCACGGCGCTTGTTTAGAGGCGCGTGATTCGGGTGCTCAAGTTTCAGAACGTATACAGAAAGAAGGGATAGCTAGCGAAGAAAAAATGTTGACGGTATCAATAGGTGATTTAGCAGATACATATATAGTATGGTCTATAGTATAGTGATACGTGATACAGACGATATTTACGGTTTAAAAAAGAGATAGGCATCACACAGAGCGCGCAAAGAATAAGATGCCAACTTGCACATCTTAAACCACCTGCTGCTTTTTCTGACTAGATTTTACTGCGACGTGCCTTCATTCACGTTTCCTTCACTCATTCATTTAAATTTAATTCGTTTGTTCCAACAGGATGCTGGCGTCTGAAGTACTGTCGCCTCAGTTGCAGCGCTGAACTACAAACTTTCTCCTTTTTATATTTCGCAGATGAATTGGATGGCTACTTCAAGCAACTGCACGCGCTCATAGAGGATTCGTACACCAGCAACGGGAACATGTCTGTTATCATGGTATGCCATAGTATGGGATGCCCAAACCTACGCTACTTTTTTAGCCGTCAACCTCAGCCCTGGAAAGACAAATATGTTCGGGCGATGGTGACCCTCGGAGGGGCATGGGGCGGTGCTGTGAAGGCGCTCAAGGCCTATGCCTCTGGTGAGTCTCGAAACGTTTGTTTCTCTACTTTCGTAGCTGCTGTACGGTCATATTCAAGGCCAACAGAAGTAACTGGTATATGTATACAGCGAAGCTCGAGTAGGGACACTAGGCAGGCAAGAAATCACGACGTCGACTATTCATTCCAAAGAAATTGTACTTTCATATTTAGCTTTATGTTCCTTGAAGGTAAGCTTCTGTAATGTCTAGACTGCGTTCAAAATACAGGATAACAACCGTGTGGGGGCATAATGAGCATTTCTTCGAATACCGTTGCGCACTTCACTGCACTCGGCAGCCCGGGTCAGTGATTAAGCAGTTCTATTACAATGTAGCTCGTCGCACGACGTGATGACACAATATGTGGCAATTCATTATTCATTATGAAATTGGAAGCTATGATTTTGAATACATTCAGCGATTCCGAGAGCTGCCCGACACCACTTGTTGAGGTCATTACTTAAAAATAGTATCACTGACAATTGAAAGCCACGTGCCTTTGTGGCGATGGTAAACGAACGGCACAAAAAGAGGCGCGTGTTCGTTCTGCCTTCGTATGTGTTCAGATATTGTATAAAACATATTTTTTGTATTTATGTACATTTTTTGTGTGTACAGTGTTTATTGTGACCCACTACGTTCACCTTCCACAGCGAAGAGGGCATAAACCGTTTTTCATATTTCGGGAGGGGCCGGGTGCCAGTTTCTCTCTCTCTCTCTCTCTCTACACACACACACACATATATATACATATATATATATATATATATATATATATATATATATATATATATATATATATAGGTATATATATAGGTATATATATAGGTATATATAGAGACACAGAGAAACAGGCACCCTACCATCCGCCTATCGAATGACGGGTAGTTTTTTTGTGTTGTGTCTGCGCGTAAAAGGCATATACAAACTTGTATTCGGCTAGTACTGTGAAAGCTGTGTTATCAGTTGCGAGAATGTTGTATCACTGGCGACTGTTTTGTGCCGTGGAAAGAACACTTTATTAGAGTAGCAAACCACTCTATAACAGACTTCGCTACACACACTCACAACGTATGAAGTTTTGACCATGCCACTTTCTCACGTAAAGGATTAAGCACTCAGGGACGTCGGCTACAGCGGTGTTCTCGACGCGCAGGTGAGAATCTGGGCGTGGTGGTGATCAACCCACTGTCGGTGCGACCCGAGCAGCGGTCCACACCCAGCTTGGCCTACATGATGCCCAACCATCTTTACTGGAACGAATCTGAGGTTTTGGTGAAGACGCTGAACCGGAGTTACGGCTTGGCAGACTACGAAGCCTTCTTCAAGGATATCGGCTTCACGGATGGTTACGAAATGTATAAGGACACGAGGTCGTTCATGCTCGACACCACGGCGCCAGGCGTCGAGATCCATTGTTTGCACGGCCGAAACGTCAGCACCATTGAGAGGTATGACACGCTGAAATGAGCTGCAGGGAGATGTTTAGGCTAAGTGAAACTTTTGATAATACTAAAAGAGGGAAATGATTGAATGGAACAATTGAAGAATCAGATATTCCGAATTATTGTCAGTAATAAACATAGGTGGAAAATAAACGGGAGAGATAAATATAAAGCTCCGAAAATAGGACTTAAACGGAATAGAACCGTATCAAGATTTCGCGAATGAAGCCTTCATAAATATTATTGCGAATTAAGTCTATACCAGAACATACAAAGTTACCTAGAATATAGTTATTAGAGATATATATTTATTAGAATAGTTCTGAAGAATAGGTTTGCCAGTTAACAAATTGCCTGAAAGCTCGAAAAGCCTGCTGCATAAGAAGTCATAACACATAGCAGACTGCAAGCTAGAAATGTCTAATGTCCAATTGAATTACTTAAGGGAAGCGAAAGTACGTACTCAGTAAATTAGTTAATTTTAGGGGTGCAACAGCTGTGCCAATGGCGCCGATTTTATAAAATTCTGCATTTTCGCATCAAGCAACCACGAAATTTTCACAAATTGCGCCGCGCTGCGCCAAAATGCCCGACTAGCCTCAATTTTTTTCCAGTCGCGCTAACTTCCGCGAGAAATGGAGGCCTCGCTGGCCGTCTGCAGTTCGCGTCATCAGTCGGTCCAAGCGCGCAGACCCCTAACCCTAAACCAAGGTATCGGGACACTATAAAAACCTGATAAACCATATAGTAACAACGCCGCGCGCCCATTGGTCCGCTAATTGCAGCGGAAACCTATCGGGGGGACGACGAAATTTGAAGACGAAAATGTGTTGCCGTAGCTACCTATGATTTCCCGAAAATATTAATATTCTAGTCGGCAAACGCAGCCATGGCATATTAGAAAGGGAAGCTGGTAGCGCATGTCGGGTTTTCCGCGCGAGAACAAACTCGACATGCTCCAAGCGCAGGCTTTTCTGGCGACCATGCTGGTCGCTGTAGCAACGGTCATAAAACATTTTTCGGTCTTGAGGTTGCGTCGTCCCGGCGATAGATATACGGTGCCATCGCTGTGCCTACTAGCGTGCGTCGTTGTTGCTTTATGTGCTTGAATGCGTCCTCAAGCGAGCCGAGAAGTTATACCTATAAACCTAACCCCACCGTGTCTTTCGTTTCCTTCTTGTCTCTGTGTCGTCGTTTTGTTCTCGCGCTATAACTATCATCGTCCCACCGTGAAATGACGAAAAAAAAGGGGGAGGGGCTGTACTTGTTAAAAGAATTTGTTGGCCCCGATTTAATCCACGCAGAATGCAGCTTAAGCCTCCTTTGCCGCAAGATTCCTGCGGAAAAGCGTATTATGATTTCAAAGGAGTTTGCACAAGGCGCGTCTTAACACATTTTGTTCAATTGCTGATGTTTGTATAGGCCGCGTAACTGTCAGAACTAGTATGATCGCTGACGTCTAAAAAAGTTACTGGCAAATACTTGGATCTGTGTATGACTTTCCTGCAGCCCTAAAAAAAAACAAGCAAAACTGTGGACCAGGTGCTGCTGACCCACCAGCTGTGGAATTGAATCTCGGCTGGGGCGGCCACATTATCGTTGGAAAGAAAAGTGCTTGAGGCCCGTGTGCTTAGATTTAGGTGAATGTCAAAGAACCACAGGTGGTCGAAGTTTCCGGAGCCTTCCACTATATACGGCATTTCTCATAACCACATGGTGGTTTGAGACGTTAAAACCAACAACTGTTGTTAATAAAACTGTGCACCAATTTTTTTCACCCCCCCCTCCTCGGTTTTACGAATCTTCTGAATTTCAAGGTTGCTAGCTTGGCAGATCCACATTTAAATTCTCTAGGGTCTGTGAAAGGATTTGGCAGGCGCGGCATATACTAATGTCCACTTTCTCTTTGTTTGTTCAGTGGGGTGGTTGAAATACTACTTTTATTGTAATAGCAGTCACGTTTACTCTGCATGATTTAGGCGATGTTGAATGGTTTGTACACATTTTTTAATGCAAGTCTTCTTTTTCATACTGCTCCAAATTTGGTCTTTCGTGATAAGCAATGAATGTGTTTTTCCTCGTAAGCTGCACCAAATTGGGAATTTAGTGCTGGCAAAAGTAACATTTCGCTCCTCAAAAAATTCCTCAAAATTTTATTCTGGCTCTTGCGCCACTGCACTTTGTTCTGCCAATATCCGTTTTTGGTAAAAGTAGGTGTATGAGCGGAAAAGTAAGCATTTACAGAATAGTACGAGTCCTCTACAACTGTCACAGCTGACCAAAGGTTGTTTCATGTGTGTCGGATACCCAGGAAATACCGCGGCAACATTTAGGCGAACCGGACTCAGGACATAAAGCTCTGACCACGAATAAATCTGGTCTCTCGAGCAGGCTCGAAAGGTTTCGTAGTCTCTCTCCCAGCTGGTCTCACGTACTCTCGGTCGCCGTCAATCAAGCTGTGAGGCAGCTCGCAACATGCCTTAGCGGTATACGCTATATAAATCCAACTGAATATGAAGTTAAGAAATGAGTGTGACAAATTAAGATCGTCTTATTGAACTTTCAAATTAATGATTATTAATACTTCGGTGATCATCATGACTCAAAGCCTAATATTTCTATAAATTTCAAATTCAGGGGAGAGAGAGAAAGAGAGAAACCTGGTGAATCTTGCACTAAGCCGCGCCAGGCTTGACATATCGAAACTCGACGGTTGTGAGGACTAATCTGGTTTCTTTTAGCTTGTTTCGTGGCCTCAGCTATGGGTGATGCAGGTTGTTTCAAGATTAATTCTAGGCCGTTGCTATAGGCTGTAGCTATAGGTGATGTTACGTTCTTTTTGTGGTGATTCTCTGCGCAGAGAGGTCTCAGTTAAACGAGACAGGCAGACATGACACAGATGTCTAAACTCCAGAGACTCGCGCTGAAATCAAGTGTTCGCAACTCTTAGATCTGAGGGCAGGCCGTCGTAAGCCTTCCATCTATTCGGGGGTGCCATTCTCTCCTAACTTCATTTTATAGTGAACCGGTGGGGAGTAGTGGGATGCAAACAGTTTCAGTGACGCACACGTGATAGGCCGCACGAATTGCGGTTGCCTTGAGCAGCTTCTCTGTTAAAGCATCTAATGAAAATCACTGTGTACTGTATAATGTAAGTGGTTGGAGTGAAAACATGTAATGAAAGGAATTTGAAGATGACTGTTTACTGCCAACTCTCGCGTAGTTTTTAGTCAGTTTGAATAGAACTGACTTCTGAAAAAGATTGGCTACATGGGCTGATTGGTATTGTATTTTTGAAAGAAGTATACTTTCTTAGTGTGCAGGGAACATTTCTGGAAGAAGACAGAGAGCACTGAGATTTTTTGAAAAAAGTGACTTTGCGTTTTGAATAGCAGACGTTTGTTGCGTTGATAACTTACACAGCCTCCTTTAATTGCAGCATACGAGCGTTCACGGCCGTAGTATATTTTCTCAAAACATCAGCGTTATTTAAAACCACTGAACTCATGTCAAAAAAGCTCAGCTGATCCTGAAATAGATCTTACGACTGGCGATACAACCGCAGAGCTTCTTTGAAGTACGTCGTCTCGGTAATGTCACCCATATAACGGTAAGAGTTAGACGCGGTTCGTATATAATAAGACTTATGAGCCTAGGGTCGCCGATTGTGACACTGCAATTCACGCATGTGCAGGATCGAGTACCACAAGCCTGGTTTTCCGGACATTCAGCCCGAGGTGGTGTTCGGCGACGGTGACGGCACCGTGAACATTCGCAGCCTGCGGGGCTGTTTGCGCTTCCAGAGTGGCCAGAGACAAGCCGTCTATGAGAAGACTCTCGACAACGTGGAACACATGAGCATACTCTACGACAAAACCGTCATCGACTACATCAAGACGCTCGCTGTGGGACACTGACGCAATCGAGCGGGGCCCCAACTCGAAGCATGGCAATGGAGCTATGCGAGACAGTGTTCGGTTGTACGGTCACGGTGTCACTGCGTCATTTCAATCTCTAAACCCAGTTTGGATGCGAGAGGGAACGTAGTTATGCCCAGTGGCGTCTGCCACAAGATTTCATTTCACTTTGTCCAAGCTACACGGCATACGCTTTGACCACCTTTTCGCGGAAGACTCGTTTTGCGATCGACTGTTCACGGCTAGATTCAAGTGTGGCCCCTTTTCTCCCTCGTTCTTTTTTTGACCTTTTATTTTATTTTTTTCCTTCCCTCGTGCTCTAACATCTCTTATGAAGGACATCACTTCTGGTCACACCGTGGACACTGTGGAGCGGCTTGCGCTTTGGTCAGCTTACGTACACGCGTGAGGCGTGGCACTGGTGCCATTCACGTGGACTTATGGAAAACATTTCGATGCTTCTTGGACGTGAAGACGCGCAACGGCAATGGCGTGTGCGGTGGGTTGTTTGTGCTGTAGGAGCTCGATGAGTAACTGGGGGTGTCGCATCAGTTATTTATGTCATCCTTTGTCGAAATGTGTGAATTTCACCAAACTGCATATGAACACGGGAAACCGTTCTGCATGATTGTTGTGCTCCTGAACATCACCTGACGTGGCTTCGTCGAAGACGTTACCACGCACGGGCCTGGCTCTTCTTGCGCTCATAAAGCCTTTGAAACGAGCGTGCCTTCTTGCTTCGAAAGCACATCAATGTATTATTTAACGTAAATGGACGAGTGTTAAAAACCTTCTAAAAAACTAATATAAAGTGTGACAATCTCGGAATACATATATATTTACACGAATGTCATGTACTTTTACAAAAAGCTCCCAAGTCGGCTGCATAACGCCATGTGATTTACAGCGTATACTACGAAGAGAAAATCAGCACTTGCCTTTATTACCAACTGTAATATTTTACACAGAAATGTAGGGATGTGCGAACCTTTTCTCAATCGAAAATGTACGTGTTAGAAACAAAAACCGCACACATGAGTATCGTGCATTGCTGCCAATGAATTTGTGTCGCGTTTTTGCGCAGCTGCATTGCTCACGTGAAAAGCGTTTATATATTTGCCTGAGACGACTAGTCGTGCAGTACGCGTAGGTGAATGTGATGCTTCAAATGCGAGGTCTTGAAGGGTGCCTTTCCGGATCTCAACTTATTCTCAGATACTGCGTTTACAGCATTCTGTATGTCTACACAAGAAGGAAAGTCATCTGTAAGTGAATTACCTGAAGTGTTGTAAGACATTTGTAAAAATGTAGGCTAACAACTTCTTTGCGAATACAACTGATCTGAAACTATTTCATTTTCTTAGAAAAAGACCTACATCTATGTATCCTGTCTAAGGCCACAGTTACACAAAATTACCATTTGCTGTAATTGTGAGCCGCATGTTTGTTGTAACATATTAAAACTATTTAACCTCCACAGGAACGAAAACGAACACGAAAAGCCTTCGTGAATATGTCCTATGTCCTTTATTAATTGCCAACAATAATTATGCATCCTAAAACCGCCTTCACAATACCGTCGCATTATCATCAGTTTGGGTCGCCACGAAGGCCCATGTATATATATATATATATATATATATATAATATATATATATATATATATATATATATATATATATATATCCTCCTGGCTTCCGGGTTGGATTTTGGTCCACGGAATTGCCTAAAACTTTCACAACTTGGTGTGTAGATGACGAAGATAAAAAGTGAAGCTTATTATTTCCGTGATGCCTGTGCTTTTGGTATGGCGTGATGTCCAACTGATTGGACGCTGAAACTTAATTAAAGCATTAAGTAGTGGGCCTGAAACAACACAAAGCAAGGCTACTGAAGAAAATTGTGACAAATTCCGGAATAACTGCAAGCTATTATTCAAAATGTAACAAATAATAAAAACCAACAGAAAAGTGGACCCTAACTTTCGCCGTTTAACTTCTAGAAGATTGCCCTGTTGAATGCCACCATGTTTTCTTCTTTGTTTCGCGATCTCCTGGCGCAATTTTGACAAAACTTCATGGAGGGCGCCAGTAGATGTCCAAAATATTGGACAAGTGGTTTTTGAGGAAGAAAACATGCTGAGATCTTTGTAGTGATGGGGTATTTCATGTCCAATATTTTGGACAAATCCCCATAGCTGGAACTCAGGAGGATATATATATATATATATATATATATATATATATGCCAACCAACCACAGCGCAGGCAGAACGCCTATACAGTCCGCTTAGTTTTTTTATGTTTAATACGAGGTATACAGGATGTTCCGAGAAATATGTGTCCGAAAATATTTGCTGACTGCCTTCATGATAGAATTGTTTTGTTGTGGAAGATATTTTTAACGGTTCCTATGCAGCCTCTACAAATATATAAAAAAGCGCGTTATGCTCCCCTGTGTTTTTCCATGTTTTCATCCTCGTTCTAGCGTTCGTCTGCGTATACAACGGCCCTTGGCGCATCCCGTGACCAAAGAAACTGTTTGGCTCTGAATTTCGCGAAGTTGAAATTTTCCATATGTGTAGAATGCTCCATGTTAGCTTTACATGTTGTCTTGGAAATGCACTTGGTTCTACCTATATGAAGTATTCCGAATAAGCCAAAGTAAAAAGCATTCTGCTACACTTGTATTGTACCGCCTGTACAATCACATTCACGTGGTCTAGATATATTCGCGTTCTGTAAGCTTGTATGCTAGTACGCAAAGTTCGTGGAAGATGCGTTTGCAGGACTGTGACACGGAAGTGATTATTTTTCAGAAAGGAAATGTGTAGGCTAAAACACGCTTATTTTCAATTGTCATCAGCGTCATCTTCATCGTCATGGGGTATAGTGGGTAGCTTGCTGTGCTGGGTTGTGATGGCAGCGTTATCATCATCGAATACCTTGCATATGCTAAAGCGCTTATTTGTCATCGCCATGACGTAGGGGGTGTCAAACAAACAAAAAATGCACAATGGACAAGCCTTGGCTTTAAGTTGCTTGGCCTCTAAATATTCTTGCACCGTCTCCGAGTCCCCAACTATAGTATACGACGTGCCTCGTAATCAAGTCGGGGTTTAGACATGCAAACCCACAAAAATGGTTAACTATTGCACTGTTTCCTCATCAAATCGGCACAGGAATGCATCTAAACGGGCAACCCATTCCCAGGCTTCCAGTATACGGGGTTCTTCATGCATTCCGAAATATTTAAAACAGTGACGAATGTCGTCAGCACCATCAAGGTGGCACTGTCATTAGCTATATGCTGCACTTAGCTGCAGTTGCTCATACAGTTGGCTGCAACCTCTTTGTTCTTGTGGTGAAGACGTTGCTTGATGTAGAAATGCAATAAGCGAAAGGAAAGTTGCACTGCAGCATATTTACGGGGTGCAAGGGGACCTCTTCAGATACCTCTCTTTTAATGTCAGTTTGTGAAGTTTTATGCAGGATATTGATATATTTTACGATGGTACTGTTCAAAAGAAAGAAGAAAAGGGCGCTGTGCACATGCAACGCCCACGGGCGCTGGCACGCTCACTTCCTTGGACTGCTAGTGACACGCAGATATTTAGGGATAGGTCTGATCTCCGTAACTTGAAGAGATTTCGTCTAGTTTGGTGGCCTGTGACCATTGGAACAGTTGTACAAGGTGTGATTGCATCTCCGACTCGGCCCCGTACCAACGATTTGACCTTTCGTCACATACATCGTGGACGCGGTCAAGCTCTACGACCAGTGTCGATGCACCTGCGGCGATGGCCACGTACCAATAACGATTTACAAGACGAAGCCATGAGGTGGCCGCCAGCGCAAATGTGCAGCGTACCTGGCCCGCTGTTTTTCTGGTCTGTGCATGTCGGTAAGCCAGCTCTTCTTGAACTACTACAGTTGGAGGATTCCGAGCCATTGTTGGGTGACAGGCAGCTTGGTCAATGTCTGCTTCCACCGCGTGGACCTCCTCACCGGCAACGAATTCCCGCGGGTCATGAACTTCGGTCTTCGCGAAGTCAGTCCAGGATGATTGGGCTTGGCTTGTCTGCGAGGTCCAGCGTTTCATGTACTGTCCAGAATTCAGCGCAGACTCTCGTTACGGCTTTTTCACTGTTTGAAGTTCATGAGACATTGCTGCATCAAGTTCGCGGAGCTGTGCAAGTCCGGCGTCTGGCAATCCGACTTTCTGATTCCGCGTGTGACCATTGGCTGCACCACAATTGATGTCACATGGAGCTTCGCAACGACTGGCAGAGCCGCAACCAAACCAGGGAGCTGATCGCTGTGCTCTATTTCTTGGTGGTTGCTCAGCGAGCTGCAGATCGTGAGCTTACTCTTCTCGAACGTCGGTGTGTCCAGGCATTGCGAGTTGTTCTACCAGTGCGATGCAGTGTTCGCGAATGCAAGTACACCACGTGCCTGGTTGGCTGGTGTTTCGGTTTATGCCCATCTGTCAACCAGCTGTCATCAAACTTGAGCACGCGACGTGATTGGACGACAGGTGTCCCAGCTTATGCCCAGATGTTCTCGAACATGAGCACGCGACTTGATTGGTCGACAGGTGTCCCAGCTTATGCCCAGCTGTTCTCGGGCATGAGCACGCGACGTGATTGGTCGACAGGTGCCCTAGCTTATGCCCAGCTGTTATCGAACATGAGCACGCGACTTGATCGGTCGACATGTGTCCCTACTTATGACCAGCTGTTCTCTAACATGAGCATGCTACTTGATTGGTTGACAGGTGTCCCAGCTTATGCCCAGCTGTTCTCGGGCATGGCCACGCGACGCGATTGGTCGACAGGTGTCCCAGCTTATGCACAGCTGTTCTCGGGCATGAGCACGTGACGTGATTGGTCGACAGGTGTCCCAGCTTATGCCCATCCATCAATCAGCTGTTATTAAACCTGCTGTTTCGTTCGGAGCGTTCTGAACCGTGACCAGGTCAAGCACAGCAAGTTGTACACGTAAAGCGCTGGGAACGGTGGCTTTGTCTACTGCAGTGTTCACCTGCAGAACGAGTTTTCTGAGGCTCATCGATTCGAAGCCGAAAGAAGTTAAATTCAGAAAGACTCGTACTTACGTGTCTGCGCAGACGCACAAATATGTTTACCGTCGTATCTTGAACGGCAATTTATCACTAAATAAACTTAATGCCACACTTATTCGTTTGAATTTCGGGCTTACAATTTAAGATGGTTATCATTGACCTTGATTTGAATTATAATCAGTTATGCTTAAGAAGTTTGCCCATTCACGACGCCTCACTGACATAGTGATCAAACGAAAACAGCTTAACTGCTTGCTCCACGTTTGATTATTTCTCACAGTCCAGAGATGCATGGTGACAAAGAGTGCAATAAATCGACCTCAAGTTTCAAGTTAACATTTAATGACAAATCAAACATTTTGATCATTGTATTAGAAGGCCATACGAGCTCTCTAATGGACCACCTGTTTTATATTACATACAAGATAATGATTGAAGCAGCCCCTAGATGCATGCTACTTCATACGTGAGAATTATATAAACATGTTGGCTCGCAATAAAGGAAGCAGACTAAGGGAGAAGGCAGTGAGGTTAACCAGGAGGACAT